TATATTAGCACCATAACTGTGACCCAACACTGAGGTAAAGGTAGATCCTTCTTTGCAGCAAGGCATTTTAACTCTTTAGCTATTTGATAGTTTCTCCATGTGTGCGCACAAATCTGTGTGTGTCTTGAAACAACTCAAAACATCTATAAAACAGTCACATAGCAGAGAGAGTAAAACAGCAGCAGCTGAGCTTGTTCAGCTGGAGCACTGGTGTGCAGTAAGAGGCATTTGACAAAACGCACAGCTTTGTACAAAAGTTACACAGGAAGCACAAGTTTTTTATGAAGGATGGTGTTAAAATGCATTCAGTATAGACACCTGAAGCTTTGTGTGATATTATGCACATTGCAGAATCACCTGTCATGACTCCAATATCAAGGTAAATGAAATGTAAAATTATCATCCACTGAGCAATATAAAATTCCCCCTACATCTTTCATCACTTCCTTCTTTTCTTCTACAGAAAATCATTTGGTTTTATCAATATACTCTACTAACATCAGCAACATATTATGGATTGGTGTTTTCTAAAAGGATACTTTGTCACGTCAAGACGAGGAGCAAGGGACTGAACCACCAAACTGCTTCAGCACCTGAATACAGAACCTCCCTTTTATTGACTGTCCTCAAATTACAGTTTGCACTTCCAGGGGAAATTTCAATTCACACTGGCAGGACCCAACAGCTTAGAGCAGTGAAAAATTCAGGATAATCTCCCAGGAGGCAGGTGGGTGTGCACCCATGTCAGCAGTAGATTGGATTAAGTTATATGTACACTAAAGTCCTCAAGTCCACTAAAGTAGTCATTTATGATGGCAATCCATCTCTGGCACAGATCTGGCCCCAGGTTAATTACTTAAAACACAGACAAAAAGAAGGAGCTTTCACTGTTTTCTGTGTATTAAGGATATCTTGTTGAATGCAATAACCCCCGTGCTCTAGCCAACTACTGTACCATCTTGTTAGGTTAGGCTGAGTATGAGTTTTTAAAACTAATTTGATCATGATGACTCTTAAAAACTGTTTTCTTTAATAATCAATATGAAAGTCGCAATTTGGGAACCTGCAGATTAAACTGGAAAATCAATCCCTGCTTACATATAGAAAGTAGCTTTGAACCTAATGTAGTATTGTTCACAAAAGGGAAAACTATTTGGCTTGTAGCACATGAATTTGACAATTTGATGTGCACATTTTAAACACCAAGTGTTTTTGTCTCCTGCAATACAAACTCTGTAGGATGAGCAGATTTCGGAACAATAAAAAGCCTCGAGTAGTTCTGCCAACTTAATCTGCTTCACAGTGCTCTGCTTACACAATGACATCAGCTGGATCTTCGAATAAACTTCCCCGGATCAAACACTAATTAAAACCGTCAGAGTCACTGAAAAAGGTCGAATGCTAAACTTCTTTCTCTCAGTTTTAGTTATCCCTAAAAAAAAAAAATTAAAAAAAAAAAAAAAATCCAAGACTGCCAGCATGAAGAGTTGGAAAAAAAAGTTCATGGTAGAAAACTTCATTGTAACCATTGTTTCCTTGAAGTGTAGCTTTTCATGGTCTGCATGTAAATTAGCCTCATGGCACACAGTGAGTTAAAACCACAAACTACAGATCTGGACAAAGTTCATCTTTGTTTTAACATTTTAAAAAGACAAACCTCGGGGCAAGATAAAATTTTCAAACCAACAGTTGTCAGGGTGAAGTTGTAGACTGACATTTTTTGTGGGTTTTTTTGCCTCTTTCAATCCATATAAAGTGAACTGCTATCCTGTGAGGAAATCCTACATTGCTTACTTTGGCAAGGTAGCCAAAACAGATCTTTACTTTTGTACCTCGCAAAATAGCATCTGAAGAAAAACACTGTGTAATCGCAGCTTAAGAGTCAATGCAGTGCTGTTTCTTAAAAATGGGCTGGCACTGCATGGGTATCTATTGTTACGTGTGTGTGTGTGTGTGTGTGTGTGTGTGTGTGTGTGTGTGTGTGAGAGAGAGTCATTGTATGTCATTGTAGTCCATTCACCCAAATACTCTGCAGCTTTTGAACACTCACAAATACCTTTTCTGAATAGAACCACCGCAGGA